ACAAGATAGATTAATACTCTGGGGAGCAACAATTTCAAAATTAAAAAAAAAAAAATCAAATCAAGATGATCATCAGCCAGAAACGGGGATGATCCAAGCACTGCCCTGAGGATCTTCATTGCTGCTCTGATGCAGTATTTTGTAATAGCTCCCGCTTGCTGTATGGAGGTAATTAAGCTTATTTCCATCATAATACTAGATGTACAGTATCATCGCAAGCAGAATATGGTGATAAATAAGTAAGCTGCTAAAAGCTACAATACAGGGTTTTATTTTAAAAAAAAAAAAAAAAAAAAAAAAGCTTCAGTGCTATCTCTAGCCAAGCTTCCACAGAAATGGCTTTCAGAATTCAGAACTGTACGGTGAAGCTTCACGTAACAGAAAATTGACAGCAAAGGGAAAAATGCAGTTAAAACTTAGAATATAAAAATTAATTGAAAGTAAGAAGATGAAATAGTGTTATGGAATAAGAATATGAAAAAAGAAGTCTTCTAACAAACCACTGTCATTTTGAGCTGCTTTGTTCTGAATAATCAGCTCCTGTGTTGGTTGGACCTTTTGCAGGGGCCAGTCTTAGCAARTGTCCCTGCTGTATCTGTGATGTTAAATTGGAGGAATCTAAGATGGAAATTCCTCTCCTGAAGCACTTTCCTTTCCTACAGAAGGAGTTTAGATGCCGCTTGTAGCTTTTGGGTTATGATATTTTCCCTATTGAAGCCCAAGACAAATCCTGTTGACTTCAACATGGAAGCAGATCAGACCCGTACCATAGAACATAACTTGTAAATGTTTTTCCAGTATTTTTGTTTTTAGAAGGAAGATGATACAGTCTTTATACAATATAAATATTCAAAGCTGCATTTTTAAGAAACTTAAATGCAGGATATTTATCCATGGTTGAGTAAGAGACAGTCTGAGAAATTATAAATAAAATGGTGTGTGTGGTAATATTGTAGCTAGAGAAGTTGATCCAGATAGAACTTTTCAGGCTTCAAAGTTCATGTCTGTTTCTCAGTTTCACCTGAGATCAGAGCAGAAATGCTACAACWGTAGCCATTCTCACATACTTCTAATTAGCAGAAGGTGATAGCTAGGTCTCATAAGAGAAACTATTTTTGTGAAATTACATTTTAATTTTCATACTATAGTGAGGCTCAGGTGTTTCCTGAAACCTTCTGTTATAAATAGCCATTCATCTGAGCCTCCTTCATGTTTTGGGGAGAACCTTTCACTTACCACACACACAGCATAGCACAGTCATTTAAAAATAGAAGTATTTTAAATTGCTTTCTTAAATAACATAGTGTCTGCTTTAAATAATGGGTTTTCCATAGTCTTCAGCTCCAGCGTGTGTTTAATTCTTGAATAGCTGTGAAAACAACACAATGTTAGAAATAACAAAAATAAGGGCAACTAATTTGGTTTTGCAACATGTCAAAAACGRCCATGAGAAATGAACTCTACCTGTTTCATCAGTTTTGCAAAGCCCTTCAGAAAGTCTTTGGGGCTTTTTTTCTCGTAAGATTCACATGAAGACTCACAGGGCTGAAAAATGAGGAAAATCGTGTCACTTCTAAAAGCACAGCACAATCATGGCTAATGCTTTGAGACTTGCTACTGCAGCAGCAAGAGGGCTGCAGTCAAAGCCTTTTACAAATGGAAGAGTATGAGGCTCAGGCAATTCAGGCAGGCAAAGAAAATAGTAACTGCACCTTGGATTCACGTTTTTTCTCCGATTCAGAGAGCTGGGACTGCTGGAGCTCATCTGGTCTAACCCCCTGCTCCAGTGGAGTCACGTAGAGCCCCTTGCCCAGGACCCTTGGAGTGTCTCCAAGGCTGGAGCCTCCACAGCCTGGGCCAGTGCCCTGTCACACTGTCACTGCCTAAGGGTAAGTAATTCATGGTGCTGGTTCACGGTCAGCTTGTTGCCCACCAGGACCCAAGGTCATTTTCTGCCGAGCTGCTTTCTAGCAGGTTGGCGCCCAGCCTGCACTGGTGCTTTTTACTCATGTTTTACTGATCTTTCTTTTGCTTTTTTGTAATGCTGGTACTTTTTACTGCTGTTTTATTGATGTTGTTTTGTACCAGCAGCATCTTGGAGTAATCCCTAGCCCCTTTTCTTGAATGTCGGGCATTTGTTGTTACAAAGTACATGCACACGATTGATTAATAGGGTCAGACTGAATGTCTTTCTGAAATTCTGAAATGCAGAGAAAAAGAATGGTTGTCTTACTTCCCTAAGGTAGAAAAACTAACCCTTTTTCATTAGAATTTTGGTTTCTAGGACTCTACCATTGTAGGTGATGTCTGCTACAGAAAATAAAGAGTAATGATCAGGCTCATAAGCATTGCCAGGAAGTCCTACCGTGTCAGAGCTTCTCAGGAGGGGGCTTCTCAAGATCTTGACTTGTTTGAAAAATGCAGAATTTTCCTGGCTGATCTTTGGCTGTAATTTCCAAGTTTCATTCTGGAAGCAGGTCATAGCTGTGAACAGGCATCCATCCTAGAGCAGGAGCAGCAAGAAGGCACTAAGTTATGGCTGAGCACTTYTAATATTTCAGCCCTTTTGTACATGTGTTTTGCGTAATGCTCAGTGCACAGAATTCAATATGCAAGATACTCCTTGAGAAGAACGAGCCTATTTTTAGTTAGTTTTGCATATGAGCAAGGTTTTTAACCTTTTCTAGAATTTTGTCGTGGTAGTTGGTTAGGTATCTCCTCACAAAAATAAGTAAACTCTCCCTTCAGATATTAAACATTGCAAAAATTAGAACGAAACACTATTTAAGACCRGATCATGTTACATTTAGTAGATTTTTGACCAGCACAGGCATAAGTATTTTCTTTTTTAAAAGAGGAAGAATATCATCCTGGCCCTTTCCTCAATGCTTCATGTGGGAATATACTTTTTAAAAAGTTCTTTGTGCTGTTTCTAATGTCATCTACTTAATAATACTTGGAATACATTTAAACTGTTCACCAAATGCTATTTAAATGTCCTTATGCAATAAGAGGGGAAGTGGAGGTGCTGAAGTTRGTTGCCTTGCTAAAGGAAAAAAGAGGGAGTTAGGGTGAGAAGTAAGCAAAGAACCAGGCTTGTAGCTTAAATTGTCTTACGGTGATTGAAATTGAGTTGCACCTTAGATCTTAGTAAAGGCCAGCAAGCACCRTCTCTATCTAAGTAGAAAAAGAAGTTATGCTGTATTCTAGAGATGCAATTTTTCTGTTTCTGTTGCTTATCTAGMATAAAAGCAACCTGTTTAGTTTTTTCCCTTTATGCTGCAGTCAGCTACTAATTTCAACAATGCTAACAGAAAATCTTCCAGGGGTGCAGACTCTGGTTTGCTGGGCAGCGGCGGAAAACAGCACCAAGGCTTAGCCTGTAGTCAGCAGAGAACAAAGAGCGCAGTTTACTGAGCCCAATTTCTAACTCGCTTTCCGTTTTCCAGAGAAACATTTAGAAATGCTGATTGTGCACCTTAGCAAGGCCCTCAAGCCATCATCGTGTTTTGCATATTAACTGCTGCCAGAGCCGGATCTCTTCCAGCTTGTTAGATGTCACTGCAGTTTGCTGCTTTCGCAGGGAGAACGCAAAATCCTTTGGGTTGCTTATAGCCTGTTTTAGTAGCAGCCTTTTATATTGGTCAGATGCAACATTTTATTTTCCTTAAAAACCACACATTTATGTTTGTTTCAAGCTTCTTACCGTAACCAGTCTTGCTTACTGGAAAGAAAGCATTCGTTTTTAAGAGATCATTTTTCCAGCTGAAACTGAAAACATTTTCTGCCTCATCCGTGAAGAGCTGAGAAACCAGCATTTCTCATATGTGCTTTTTTTTTTTTTTTCTCCTCCTTGCTGAGTTAACTGTKAGGCTCAGAGCAGGCCAACAGCCCCAGGACCACAAGGAGTAGTGAGTCTTGACAAACTAAATGAACAGACATTGAAGAACCTGCGCCGCTAGTGATGCGTGTGAGTGACCGGGCAGGCATGTAGAATTGCCCTGCCAAAACCACTCAGCATCAGTTTGAAGCAACTGTGCAGGTTCCCCTGGAAAGCCCTCACTTCCTGACTCGGTGAGCAGCGGGGCCAGATGCTGCTCTGACGTAAGTGAGCGCCGTGACATTGGCTTCCACTGCCCTCTCTCGTCACCCGCAGCRGAGTGAACTTGCTCTCATTTCAGTCTTAGCTGCTTTCACCATCAGCATGTTTTCTCTGACTCCATGTGCTCTCATCCCTCAAACGACTTCTCACTGCTTTATATATTCATGTGTATTTCCGAGCTGAGCATGCAGAGAAATAGCATGGCACTGAGTTGGAGCTGGCGCTCCAGTCCACTCACAGGAAGCTCCGAGGAAGTCAAAATCAGTAGTGAGAAACCACTGCATTTTGGACCTTATAGAAAGAAGTTTTCCATCCACAAATTCAAGGCCACATTCACATTTGGAGCAACCAYGTGAACATTTAAGCAATATCATGATGTTTCGAAGCAGATATATGAAAGACGTCTATTAAATCCAGTTTTGTATGTTATTAGTGTCATTGCACTTCATCATGGTGTGTGCAACTTTGCCCCATTGTAATTCATAGGTAAGTATTCGAGCAATTCAGTAAATATAAGGATGAATTGCTTGTTATGTTACAATGAAATGCTTGCTATGCTGTAACCCAGTAATGTAGTTGCTGGTACTGATTATTGGTAGCACATGGTAGTGTTAAAAACATTTCCAAAGGTTGAACTCCTGTCGAATTTAGAACCTTCCAGTAAATGAATTCCTTAGCTCCTCTTGTTGYTGAGAGAGGCATTCAGCACCTCCAAGCATGAGACTATGAAGCMCTAAGCTGCWCGCAAACTGCTTTCTTCCTTCCTGAGGTGACCATATTTTTTTTAAAGGCTCTGATTAAGTGATTACTCACTAGTTGTATTTGCTTTCTTTCGGAGCTGGTGGCAGACATTGCAGTAAAATGACTGCTAATCATCTGATTCTTTTCACTTTGACAGAAGAAGTTGGAAAGAGCGTTAAGGACAAAAAACTAGCAGTTAGCAAGGGTGCATCAAGTTCTTGYACATGTTTCTAGCAATGAGGTGGAATAGATCTCTTTTGGTCATGCTTGTATGTTTTCAGCAAGTTAAAAAAAAAAAAAAAATGCACCTAACGGTAAAGCCTAGGAAGAGACTAACAAAAGCTGTGCCAAACCTGGTGAGTTTTTTTCCTTTCTTTTTATTATTTTGCAAGATAGTTTATGGTACTGAGTGAATAGCTTTACACTTGCTGTATTTCTCAAAAAAAACTATACGTAATGACTGTTTTTATTTGTAAGTCAAAAGTCTGTGCTTTCTGAAACAGCTCTCAGGGCTCAAAGCTCGTTATTACGATTAATTTAAGATGACAGAAAAAGTGTTACATTACATGAGTCATGACTAACCCTAGACCTTTGTACCGTATTAAGGAATATCAAAGGGATGCAGAAAAAGAGAATCATCCAAGATGTTAAGATCTTTGTTTGTTTTTAGCACTTGRCTTTCCTTTAAGTCTGGCATGCATAAGCTTTCTGCGACTCTACCATAGCTTCTTAGGTACAGTAAGTTCCAGGCTTAGGGTGACACATAATACCAACATTAAATGAGATTTTAAATAAATAACCATGTAGTATATCTATAAATATCTAAATAAAAATCTATGTGCAAAGATGATTTGTGTTATTGTAACTAGCTGCTATGCAAAGAGAGATACAGCGTGCGAGCAGAATGCAGCTTTATCTTCTTAGTTTATCTATTAGTGCAGCGAGCAGCCTTGCAGAAACCAGAGTGACTCCGAATGAGAGGAAGCGCTCTCTGATACGGCCTTGCTGTCCTGCTGTGGGCACTGAGCTGTAGAGGGGAGCGCAAGGGGCTCCCCGTGGCCATTGCAGGATTATTCCTGCTCCTCTTCCCAAATCCCGGAAAGCTTTGCTGCCCCTGYAGCTCTCTCATGAAACGCAATTACTAGCTGTCTTTCTCAAGTGAAGGTACTAGATATAAATGCGGAGTCTGTGCGTGTGTCAGCCTACATGCACCATAGTAAAATAGGAGTTAATATAAATGCTATTCTGACATGGAAAATCCAGTAAAAAAGAAGGCCCCTATTTTTTCTTTTTTTCAGTCTAGCTTGTTGCATTAGAAGTACTAGATCACAGATATGGAAAGGAAGGCATTTGTTGTTTGTCAATAAAATAAACTAATATGAAATAAATTTGATATGATTAGAAGAAAATGTTCAAGTCATCTCTCTCACCTCAGGATTTTCGGGTGTATGCAGCCGTTCAGCATCCTGCAATAGAACAGTTAGAATATTAGCATTTGCAGATGATGATGTCCCTCACAAGATGTATTCTGAGCAATATATAATTCTTGAAAATAATTTAAACTATTATGAAAGATTGTTTGCTTACCTCATTTTTCACTGCAATTTCTAATCGCTCAATAGTTTTTATAATCTGCCTGTATTTTAATTTTTGTGGAGTTGCAGTCAGCAGCATACTGGAAGAGAAGAAGAGCATGCAGAAAATGATCCTCCTCTCCATACTGATGAGTTCTGTTTTCAAATGTGTCAGGAGCAAAGTTACACTATCCAAGATGAGCACTTCAGTCAGAACTGTTCTCAGGTATGGTACGTACCTACCTATTTATTGCTCCTTGCTGGAGATGTAAAACCCACCCATTTCAGTTTGGAAAGCTTTGTAGAATGGATTAATGAGTAACCCTTTTTTCTTTTCCACTGGCTAGGTGTATGTATGTGAGCTTGTGCGTAGGGGGGCAGGGATTGATGGAGTGAATGAAAATCTGCCCCATCTGCACATTGGGCAGGAAAAAGAGAGAAAAGGGTGAATTCCCATTTTCACTTTGAGTCAAAAAATCAACATAGTAAAAAGTAGATACTTAGAAACTATAGACCCAGGTAAACAGAGATTCTACCTTTTTTTTTTTGGTCTCCTGTTTCTTACAGCATCTTACCTCTCTAATGTAATTGAAGACTTTCTGTAGCAGTGCTGCAGCAGTATAGAGAACTTCTTTTCAGAATTTTTAAAAWATGTATTATCCTACTTTATATCTTTAAAGGACCTTTGCTAGTCCCCCAGTGGAGAAATGACCTGCCGCTTTTGCATTCATGGCTTGGTTTCTGTGGCCATTGGGAGCAAAAACACATTTTAGTACTTAAGCCAGGTGAAGTTTATTCTGTGAACTTTCAAAAGTATGCCAGGGGTTTTAACAGCACCTTAGAGGCTGTGTCCTCTGAGCTCAGTGGACCAGAGGTGGAGGCCCCTGCCTTTGTGCAGGCGGCAGCGCTGGGGGTTTGGGAGTAGCGTGTTACTGAAAGGAATTTTCTCCAAAAAATGCTAGTGAGGAATGCTGCTTCACAGAGTCTTCCATGGCTGTCTGCCTTCTAAGTGACTACCACTAAATGTAAAGATATTTGAAGGTATCGTTCTCAAACTGATTTCTTTTTTTCCTATATTAGTTGCATCCAGCCTAAGTCCAATTTCTGTTACCTGCAGTGAGATTCACCAGCCTCAGAGAGGTTCTGTGGCAACACTAAAATTTTATCAAAAAAAGAAAAAAAAAAAAAAAAGGAAAAAGGCTTGTCAGGCTTTATAATGAAATTACTATTATGTATTGTTGATGACTGAACAGGAATCAGCTCTGTGGTTGCATTGTTAAATGGTTGCTCTAAAGAGCAATTAAGGTCACTTGGAAACCTTACCTGTGCCAAATAAAAAGGTGCTTGGGTGTATTTCAGTTTACATCCTTGCCTTTAGAGGTATAAAGAGTCTTTACTATGTAGATTTTATAAAACTGAACTTCAGTTTGGTGTCTTCTTTGTCCAGAACAACAACCTGTACAATAAGCTACCGTGTAAAATGCCCGTGTGTGTGTATGTGTGAGCAGACCTGGGCAGACGCACTTCCAGGTGCTTTTGATGGTTCATTTCAAAATCAGCATCTAAGCTGGTGCGGCAGCTCTATCTGGCATCTTCGAGTGTGTTTCTTTTCTGTGTATGATTATTCAGGGTGCACTGAAYAATCACTCAGCCCTTTTTAACCTTTTGGAAACTGGTTAGTTTAAAAGACAAAATTTTATGTATGCCTGTGTGTCTGCACAGATGCCCTGCTGTATGCACACACACAAAATCTCTCCCAGTAAAAGGGATTGTCACACCTGGTAGAGCAGAAGTCCTGAAAAATGATGGCAGAAATAAGAGAAACAGAAGAATATTTAAAAAAAAAAAAAAAAAAAAAAAACCTTAATTTCTTGAAAGAAAAAACAATATGGTCATTTTTCTTTTCTTTTGGTGGATGGGTTTTGAAATCATTTTAAATGAGCATTATGCTGTGATGCAGGCAGCAAGCTGCTAGAGGAGGATTTGTTGTTGAATCTTAGTAGATTTTATTTGGAATTTATCTTATTTTATAGCTAAGATTCCTTAATGAATGTTAACAGTGGTAGAGAATATTTTGTTTCAGAAACTGTGTGGTGTCCTGGGCCTGTTTTTGTCTCCTCTTCCTTCCCTAGCTCTTCCTTTCATGTGAAGTTTTGCAGAAATTGGTTTGTCACCTGTTGTTCAACACCTCTTTGGAGGTGTTAGGAGATGGAGAGATCACTTATGATAGCATTCTTTACATGAAGGTGACACTTAACTCTGCTTCTCTTTACCTTTGTTTCCTTGGYACTCTGAGTAGTGGTTGGGTTTGATAAGCATTGGCTTCTTAACCCGGTTTTGGATTACACCGTTGGAAGTGGCGACAGTTTGAGTGCAGGCAGCTGTTGCTGTTGGCTTCTGCCTTGTGCTGTCACGATGTCAGCTTGGAGCTCCTTTTGCTGAGCTCCTTCATGCTCGGCTTGTGTAGGCAGTTGCTTTCATTCACCTTTATCTGTTTAATAGGGTGGAAGCTTTTCCACTTGGGCGTGCAGCATATCCCTCTGGTAAGTATGTCCTGGTTGGGTGGTTGGCAGTTGCTCTTCCAAAGATGCTGGTCTGGGGACACTGATGGCTGGGCTGTCGCTTTTGGTGTTGTAGTGTTGCTGCCCTTCATCTTAGGGCACCCTTCCCACCCGCCGCATGCTTTATTTGATGAGCCGGTGGAGAGCAGCCCGCCCTGCGTGGCACTGAGCTGGGCAGCGAGCCCCTCTGCAAGCACCCAGTCCCTTCTGCTCGGCTCAGCCCCAGCCCTGCTTCCTCGGCCAGCGTGGTGCGCGTGTAATACTCAGGGTGAGGTCCTCGTTGCTCCTTATGCAGCCACTTGAATGTTTCATTGCATCAGCTAGGAACACCCTGCCTGTTACAGCCAGAGGCTGCGCTCGTCTTTGTCCTTCGTGCTTTGCTGGACTAGAATTCACATGTCTGCGTTGTGTATGTTGACGTGTCTCAGGCATTTCCAGATAGTGGTCCTGGCCTGTAGAGCACCGTGGCAGAGTCACACCTGCAAAGCCAACTATGGCACTTTTCATCTTACATTTTTTCCTAAGCTTTTAATAGTTATAGGTCTAATAACGCAGTAGTTGGGTTCTAAAACTATGCAATCTCTRGGGGTACCATCTGATTAGTAAAACAGAAAAATAATCACATCTCAGCACGTTACTAACCTGGGGGTCCTGAGATCCTGATGCTTTAGGAAGGAAAGAAATYATCATGGCAAACAGAGGCAACTTTAAATTCTCTGAACTAAGCTCAAGCATGATGTGCACAGTTTAAAATAAGTTAAAATAAGATATATGGTGGAGAGATGTGTCAATCTGAGGTATTCCAAAGTTATGACATCTTATACTAGTTATTAAGTTGAGGAATTAGAATGGGAAGCTAAATTAGWCAATGTAGTAGCTGGTGGTTGTGTATCATTTCTATAAAAGAAGTGTTTGCCCTTTCTGTTTTGTATCATAGGATACATGGACACAATAATTGAAGAAATGACAGAGAAAGTGAAAAATAAGGACAAAGAGGAACTTCCTTTATGTCTAGGCAGTGGAGAAAACTCCTTGATATCCCTCTCATCAGATAAGCGTGCGCGACATGCTTTTTGTRTACGTCACTTCTGTCTTGTGGCTTAGGAACATGCTGAGTCAAATAATGACACTCTCTCTCGCGCTGCCGCCCGCCTGGCTGCGGGGCGATGGCTGCAGAATGGAAAGCTGCAGAACCTCCCGTCGCTGGCCCGTGAGGCCAGATCTTCCTCTTTCCTCCTTGCCATAGTGTCACTCAGATGCTCAGTGGCTTCGACCCCAAAAGCCCAATTCCCCCCACCCACATTTTCCTTTACAGTGTGGCTGAATGGAGGCTTTTCCCATAGCTTAGTCATTGCTAYGGCTCAGCCAAAAACGCCTGTAATGTGGAGGGCTGCTTTCAAAGAATTTTTGTGGCCTCATGTGTGTGGAGTTTCATGCGTATACTSTGACTTAAGGAGGTTGTAGGAAAAGCAAGGGGAGAAAAGGGTCTGCAAAGGGAGACCTGTAACAGAGGGCACTTGGGTAGCAGACTTAGGAAGACTRGTCTTTAAAATATTATTGACACTATGTATGTTCATTACATCCTGTCGAGATCTTGTTTTTTCTTACTGTAAGATTTTGCATATTTCTGTTTTCTAACTTGGCTTAAAAAGAGAAAAGCCATCAAAATTAGAGAGAAATCTCTCTCTAATTTGAAACTGTTTACTCCAAAAATCAKAATAAATCCTTGAATGTAACAGCATACAGCAGTATAAAATTATCCAGAGTCTCTGCAGTGTTCCTCCAGAGTTATGTCATAGCCAGTTTCTAATCCATAGTAAAGTGGATATAACATTTACCRAAGGAAAAGGTTCCAGACAGTAGATGAATGAATAAAAAGAATAAGTGAAACAAATCTTATAGGAGACTGTACAGTTCCATCCTGAAAATATTAAAGATAAAAGGGATGCAAGGCAARGAGTTGTATCATAGAAGATTCTTCTTATATCATGTAAGGACAATTGTATTGAKCAAAGACATCAAGATAATTTTAAGTTGCTGACAGAGAGGGGAAAGTATCTAGCAAGTATTCACCTGTTTGGGTTGCAGASTAAAATATTATGTGTCTGTTCACTGTTACTGGCAAGTCAAATTGAAATACCTCTGTATTGTAACCCATCTCTTCCTTGCTTCTAGAGTGTAACAGGACAGAGCAGGAACTCATCTTCCTGTTCAAAAGAATGTCAGGCAACYCCACCATAAAGAGAAATGCAGGGTAGCTTCCATTACCATTTGCCCCACCAGACGAAGCTCGTAAATGAAAAAGTCCCCAAATACCTGTAAAAATATCTTCCATATGTGAGAAACACAACTACATGACACTGCTTGTCCAGTAAATGGCTTTAAGGTACAAGGACAGGCAATTGGAACAAAAGTGATTCCCAGTCCTGAAGCAGGAAAAGGGTCAAATTGGAATCTACTCGTATTTGAAAGCTGAAAGGCATGGGAAAAAAAACCAAGTACTTGATACAGAAAAATGACTGAGCAGATTTCTCCTGACATCAAAGAACTTCTATAAATGTGGAAAGACTCCCCCAGCCCCTACCAGGAGTTGACAGGATGGACTGGGCTGGTACCTAGGTACTGTAGGTGCTGTGGGCATCCCTGCAACTCCCCTCGCCAGAAAGTTCCATCATCATTTGTCTCCTCMACTCAACAAGATGTTAATTCTTCAATTTTGTTCTCCTTTTTTTTTTCTGCCATACTGTTAAGAACGTAAGTGGGGATCACACAGCAGCTGCCTTTTGCTGTGACTAATCCCTCCAACTTTGTTCTGGTTTTTCAGTCTGCTCTCTATTACCAGATCTAAAAATCATCATGTGTTTCTGTTAGTGAACATCGCTGGTGTTTAACATTATTATCGGTGATTCTCAGTTGTAATTAAAGTTGTGATGGAGTGCCACATAACAGACAAAAAAAAGAGGAGATTGAAAGAGACAGATTTGATGAATGGAAAATAGAATCTGCTTTCCAGGGCAGGCCAAATCTTTCTGAATCCATAACAAGTTATTTTATCTGAACTTTGAAAACTATTTCAGCTAGTGAAGATGTCTGAGGAATGTAATGTAAAGCCATTTGCAAATGTTCTTGTATTGCGTCATTTCCTTTGTACCAAGCATTATATTATCATYTTAATTCTCCCCTGTTTAGCAGAAGTGCACAACTGACTAGGTTTTTAAAACAAACATAGAGCAGATTAGTTTCTGCTCCATGCGCTTAATTAAACCCCAAGATGTTTGTGATGCTTAGTTTAATTGGTGTCTTTGGATCTTTTTCAATTAATAATAGCAAAACATACTGACATTTTGTGTCTTTTCAAAGTGCAGAGTCTGAGACAAGTCTGGGCCTGCTACGTAAGACGTATTCAGAAGAATAGTCCTCTTCTGGCCCCATCTTTACATCTTCCCATTAATACTGGAGCTGCCTCCCACTCCGGGGTCGCACAGGGTGGGAGAAGCCCAGCGGGGTCACCGAGTCCAGCCTCCTGCCACTGCTGCGGGCATCCACATCACGTAAGTCCTTTCGCACCTCGTCTGAAAGCGCCTGCCATGGGCCTCATCTTCTCAATCTCTGTGACAGTAACAGCCCTGACCCTTTTCTCTGCCCAAGCTGCTTTCTGGCTTTTCTGGGGGAACTTCAGTGTGATATATTGTGCTACTGATGATCTTTCCCAGTGACTAAAGGCTGGCCAGCTGCTGAAGGCGAGACAGCAGCTGTCAGGAAGTCAACTATGTTGTCCTCAGCTGCACAAGTGACCTCTGAAAGCCATGCCTGTTTCCTGGTGATGCCCCTACGAGATAGTATGGCCTAAGGCGTAAAAGACAGTGAGGGGTAGYCCTGAAAACCAACAGTAAAGGTCACGTCCGTTCAAAACACTCCAAAAGAAAAGCCAAAAGACACATACACACGTCGGATACTGGATGGAGGGATGACTTAAATACAAAATGCTGCCTTTGCTTCGCTCGCTAGCATTAATGAGCAGAAGTAGCAAGATTTGGAAGAAAGTCTGTTYTCCGTGTGGATGTCAGCAGTGTGAAACAAACACAAAGCAGGCCAGTGCAGGCTGCAGATGGGCAAGGCTCATGCCAAGTCTGCTGCAGCCTCTGGAAGTGTTTTTGCTGACTCTAGTGGTTTCCATTCGTGAGCAGCACTGCAGACATCATTGCTCCACCAGCTAGTGGGCCTCTCTGTATCCTGCTTTGGGTTGCTATTGTGGATGCCTTTGGACATCTCTTGGAGGGTTGGTGCAGCTGCTGTGGGAGCSTGGGATCTGTGTGGTGGTGGTAAAGCTGTTGGATCATCACTTAGTCTTCCACAATATATGGAATAAGGCTAGTGAGTTGCTACAGCCCTCTTTCCATTCTCTCCAGCAAACCCATCCTGGTTTTACCTGCTTTGCAGATGTACTTGACATTAAATCATCTGTAAAATCAAACATGCTTTTTCACTTTTTATTATGCATTATGTTTTTGCATGTCTTGGTAGAAGTAGGTGACCGAATATTGCTTTTATTCCTAACTAGTTTCACTTTCTGATTCTCATGTATTACCAAAATAGATAGTATTATCATGTATTACCAAAATAGTSTATAGATTGTACCACTCCTCATAGATATGTATATTTGTATGTTTGTGTGCAGATACCATTTCTGTTGGAATCAATTTTTCAGTGACTGAGTATGTGTTGATTTCAAGCTCTGTAAACTCTTCCTCTTCACATTTTGCTCCTGCCAGCTTTTCTCTCCCCAGGCCCAAGCGCAGTGTCCCTGGGGCACTGCTTTGGCAAGGCAAGAAACAGTGGGGCCGGAGGAGCAGCACGAGCTTGCAGCGGGGCCGTTGGTCAGCGAGGGGCTGCATCAGCCACTGCTTGTTCTTGGAGCTCCTGCAGTAGGGAAGAGGCTCTGGTGTCAGGCTGTGAAAGGATGGATGTCAACTCAGCATCATCGTGCCGGGAGCAGGAATTTTGTGCAGGTACTAACACCATTAGGCCCTGTAACTGTGGCCAAAACGCAGCTTCTTGCAGCATTGCTTAAAGAAAGTCCTCTGTAAGGTGTGAGGGAAGTCTGGTCTGCAGCCTGGTCTGAAGTGYACAGCTCTTACAGGTGTAATTGTATCTCTTGGGCAACCTTTGTTAAGGTTTTGCAGGCCAATATAATTTCTGATTTGTGTAGTTACAGCAGAAAGAATTGTCTGCAGATGGAATACGGATTATTCTGTTTCCCATATATGAATTGCTTTGTAAGCATAATGCACTTTGTTGTCACTTTATACTTAAACTTGCCATTTCGTTGTTTGCAGCAGATAAGGGAATACTGTGAGATGGCTATCAAAATTTCCTTAAAAAGATAAAACTTAAATGGGACAGCTATGAAAAAACTTTTTCCATTATTATTTTTTATGCTGCTTTTTCTCCATCCTTATCTGTAGCCGTATGTATATAATATATGTGAATGTGTGCATGTGTGTCTATAGATATATCAAATGTATATGCACACACATAGATTTAAAAAGTCATATGGCACAGTTACTTTGCATAATGAGTTTCATTTCTTTTCACAGGTCAGCATGTTAAGCGAACCTTGGAAAAACTATTGTGTGATCAGACACCGCACTGAAGCAGCAGCAGCCATTTGGTAAAGGTGCTCTTAGATAAAAAGCTGAATGCTGTGGTTTCAATGACTTATCGTTGAAACYTTGTGGTTTCTATGTAGGCGGCTGTACAGGCTGGACACGTTTGACATCCTTGTTTCTGAGCTGTGAAATCTGTACATCTAATTTATGAAAATTATCTCTGGCTTAATTTTATTCTTTTTTTAATGAAGTCAACATGCTATTTCCCATGCATTCAGTGGAAACAAGAATGGAAATGTTTTAAGATGTTCTGTAAACCTGCTTTGACCTCAAAAGGGAAAAGAATCAAGATATTCTTATGATTAAGGGTTAAGAAGAAAATTAGAATTAAATATAGGGGCTTAAAGATGGAGGGTAGAAAACGGGGTGGTAAAAAAGCGTCTCTTCAGTGTGGAGACAAATTGGGAAATTAACTTTGGGAAGTGACACACAAAATCAGAATTTTTTAAGTGAGAATTTGATATATATTAAAATATATATATGTCTACTTAAGGAAATTTAGCATGAAYGAAGGTACTGATACCATTTAAGAGACCCTGCAGTATCTATAGTCTTTTACATTGCCTGAGTAAACTGTTAACTTTACATATGGGATAAAAGYAAGACCAGTGGAACTATGTTAGAAGTTGGATCAGAGTGGGAGTGAGGGCAGGAGCAATTGCAAACCCAAGAGTCATTAATGAGCCACCCAGTCAGTAACATGCTCTTTTGTTCCCATTTAATGTTACCATAGTTCAGGGAATTGATCCCGTCCCTCAAGGGGCTAAAATGTGCTAGTGTTGCTGCTTACGATACAGCAGGCGTGCACAGCTGGGACTGGAAGAGGAGCAAAGCAGATTTCTTCCCGTCCCCTCTACTGCGTAGCTGTGGGAGAGGGCTGGACATGGGGGCGTCGTGGACCCACGTGCCCCCTCTCACCCTGCTCTTGCTCTCCCTTGAGCTCTGAGGAGCCTCTGCCACCTGCGCGGTGTCCCCGGAGAGCTCAGCTGCTGGCAGCACTGGAGACCTGATCGGCTGCTGCCGGCAAATTGTGTTCCCTCCCCTGRCGTGAGCAGCTGCACTGACCGCCCGAACACGGGCACTTTCAGCCACAGCTTTCAGCCACAGGGTCACAGTGTGACCATGGAAGGTAAATGCCAGAAGCACCTGCACCTTTCCCTGTGGCCGAACTTTGTAAGTGAATCTATAAACATGTACTAGAAAGGAGCTGAGACTTCTGAACACCAAGCAGAGGAAATGAGAAAGAATATCCAAGGTTCGCAGGAGACCTGCAGAGTTTCTTGCTCATGTATAAATGCAATTAGTATGTGTGTGAAAAATAACGACAGAATGCTAAAGGGGCAATCCAAAAGCATTAGCCAAGGACTGTGTAATACTTCTGTGTGAGTAGAAATTCAGAGTGTGATCACCCAGYATCAATTCATTTCCCAGGAATGCCTGCAAGATTCATACTAATATTTTTCAGTAGTTTCTATATCAAAATATTGGCATAATACTGTGAATTTTTCTTTTCTTGAAATCTCATTGTTCCTGATCAAGAAATTGCTCCTTTTGAAGGGGAGAAAAAAAGTACTTTAATGTTGTGTCTTTGACTGGAAAATGAAGATATCTTGTACTGCTTCTGTTTCTGTTTCCAGAAACGTAAGCCTGTAAGTGCAACTGCAGATGAATATGCTAGTAAAATTGCTGCATACAACCGTATGTTAGTCTTGTGGACGGTGATATTTTTCTTGCCTGTTAATCATGTGCTTGTTGCAGGCTTTACATTTGATGTCCCATTCCTTGAGCAGCGTTTTTGATCTCTTAAATGACTTGTGGGAACTGAGAGAAAAACAAGGATGCTCAGAAGATGCCAATCCTAATCAATGTAGACTTCTGAAAATCGTTTTTCCCAATAATCATTGCAAACATGTGGGAAATGTGAATAATCGAGGAACAATCTATGTTTTTAGGACCCAGAATTCTGCTAGAACGACCGCCATAAGGTTAGCATTCCTCTCCATATTGCTGAATTGCTGGGCTGAATTCCCAGGGCTGAATTTCCAGAGTCATCCTTCTCTGATATCATCAGGATTACACAACTCAGCCTACAGATCCCTGGCTTGTCTAAGTGGTTCTCATGCCCATTGCATTTATATTTCTTATTTTTATGCTTTTAAGTAAAGGCAAAAGCCATTTAAATATAGCAGGCACAAGAAGGCGAAGGTGAGTGTGAAAACCTGTTACGCAGACATCACTTCAAAGCAGAGCACAACCTGCTGGTGCTGCCCACTGCACCACAGCTGGCAACCATGTATGTACTCAATGGACCACTCGCTCAGAAAATTCCATTTTATGTGTCGTTTGGGCTGGTTGAGAGATGCATCAGTACTTCTAGCCACAACAGTTCTTTCGTCTGCACTGCAGTTGCAACTGTCCATATCATGCACCATACATAAGGAGTTGCTGGTGGGACTCCAGAGATTTAAAATAATTATATTTGGTGATGTTGCTGCACGAGGGGTTTGTGCGTGAAGGGAAGTGGAAACAGTAAAGCTCAAGAGCAGGAAAACTCTTTGCTTGTGTTCAGACAAGAAAGTCAGAAACAGCCTAAAGGAAAAAACGGAGACAAAGAAGTAATTTCCAAAACAKAACCAAAGATCAAATGAGGCAAACGTGTTCTCTCAGCTTGCTACGTGTAGCAGATCTGCAGAAGGTTAAAAACGAACATTGTTCTGTTTTGAAAGGGGCCATGAAAAAAATCTATAGAATATTGCAGAGAGGCAGCGGGCCCTGTAGCTTACCTCCTGCCTCTCTCCGGCCATCGCTCTCTGCATTCCTCTGTTGGCCGTGCTCACTTTTATTTTTCTGAGAGAAATTCCACCATTCACTTCTCTTATAATTGTCTTTGAGTAGGGATTAAGCAATTTTAGCCTTTGATGTAATCATGCGCCATGATAACTATCCTTATTCATTCTCTGTTTTATTTTCTCCGCTATTGCTAGATACAGTTCAGTGTTTTTAAAGTTTGAACTGCATTTGTTTTCCCTTAAGCCCTATTTTTCATCAATCCATATTAGATTTTAAGTTCTACGTTTGTGGAAGTTCTACTTTTATTCCTCTGACCTCYTCCTTTTAGACCTTTAGACCATCTCTGACACCATCTGGCTTCAGACTCCTCCATTCCTGCAACACCTCCTGTATCAGCACCGTGATGTTTCAAGTCCAACATCATTACATTTTCTCTGCGCTGAAAAGATCTCGGGCGATGTTTTTCTGCCTACGAGAGAAGTAATAGAACTTAACTTGAAAGCATTGCAATTCGAGTGGGGAGCTTCACTTGAAAGCTTTTTTTTTTTTTTTTTTTGAGAGAAGTAATAGAACTTAACTTGAAAGCATTGCAATTCGAGTGGGGAGCTTCACTTGAAAGCTTTTTTTTTTTTTTTTTTTAAATAAACCTGACTATAATTGCAGTATTTGTAAAATTATCATTTCTTTTTTTCAATTTCTGTTAAAACTGTTAAATAACTAAAGTAGCAAAATCTTGCTGACTTGTTTGCATTTCAGTTCCAAGTTTATAACATTTCATTCTGAAATGTTTTATTTAAAATAATTTTTAAAAGCTGGGAGGGGGAAAAAAACCCCAAACTTTCATGGTTCACTGCAGAAGATTCAACCTGAAGTGAGCTTTTTTGCTTGACCATCTTAAAAATTGCAGTGTGTTTTGGGCCACTTCATCCTCTAAATAGAATGGAAAAACATTTATTCACTTCACTTTGAGAGTAGATTCGCAGTCATTCTCTGAGTAATCTTGGATCTTTGTGAATCAGTACACATCCTRATAGCTCTGAAACGCTTCTATGTTTATTCTTTCTTTTTTAACAGGTGGGGAACGCCACCAGAGTCGTATAGAATGGGTGACAGGTATTCCAGAAAATGAAGGCCAGTGAAGCATCTGTTAAAACACACGTGACAAAAATGGCCTTCAGCGCATACAAACTCTGAGATGAATCCTTGTTTTCTGGACGTTAGGCACAGGGTTAAATGGGTTAATAAAAGAGCAAGGGAGGTCAGCATGCCTGTGTGCCCCTAGCAGAACTACACAATCGCTTTACCTTAGCAAACCAGATTGGATAATTTAGATTTACTGGGTGTTACGACAGGTAGTAGTTCTGTTTTTTTTTCTCTTGGCAGGTAAGTCCTGAGGATTTTGGAGTTTATATTCCGCCTTTATTTTAGTCTGATCCTTGATGGGCTGGTTTGTTTGTTTTCAAACATTAAGAGAATGGTTAGGAGGAAGCAATATTTACCACTCTAAAACGTTGTCTTCTCATTTACGTAAAATATTGTCAAGTGTGACTGTAACATCTTCTGTAGTTCAGTGGAAACTGGTCTCATCTGACTTGATGGGGGCTGCCTTGTCTTACCAGCTCCTTAGACCTGCACAGTGCTGCTTTGCCCATAGTAGAAATGGAGTAAAAGGAAGAGGATGGGGCCAAACTCTTCTGGGTGGTGGCCAGTGACAGGACAACAATAATAATAGCTATAAACTAAAACATAAGAAGTTTAATGAGGAAGAACTTTTCTGTGAGGATGACAGAGCCCTGGAACAGGCTGCCTACGGAGGTTGTGGAGTCTCCTTCACTGGAGATCTTCCAAACCCATGTGGATGCCACCTTGTGCCATATGCTCTGGGTGTCCCTGCTGGAGCCAGGGGGGTTGGACTGGATGGTCTCTAGAGGTCCCTTCCAACTTCAACCAGTCTGTGAGCTGTATGTAGCCGTTCTCAGTTCCCATTTTAACGATGGATTGGAAAGACTAGACTAAGCATGGGAAGCACATGAGCCCGGTGACTCCATCTCACTTAAGACATCATCTGAAAACTCTTAATCCTAGGCTTTCCTGTGAGAGTGAAAAGGTGGACATGATATGGGCCGCTTGAGGCTTGATTAAGGAAAAACCTCAAGTTCAGCTTTGTGTTTCTTGAATTTAAGTGCGGTCTGATATCCCGAACTAGAACACAAATCAAGATTTCTGTGAGAATAATGTAACATGAACAGGGTGAGATCAGTACATTGCTGTGAATGAGAGTGCGTGAACCCGCCCTTACCTCAGTGCTGAGCCTGAACTAAAGACTGAGGCAGTCCCTGAGTCTGAGCAATCTGGTTGCCCAGTCGGCACCGAAAGAGATTTTCGGGTCTGATTAGTCATTTGAGATAAGTACAATAAAGGCCAAGGAAATTAATACAGAGCTAAACCACAGTAAATGTGAGACATAGCTGCTCCCTAGTGGAGTTGTGAAT